TAGATGTCAGAAAGTGCCACTTACTGAAATATTGTTTCTCTGGCATAATGTCTGTGATTGTGATCCAGATTGTGTCTGCCCTTTATATTGAAAGCCTGTTCTGGCTGACCTGGGACTGGTCAGTGAATATCTGCCAGAGTCCTGTTTCTAACTGACCCCCTGGCTGAGCTATGCAGTGGCATTCTGAACCTCTTAGCAGTCCACCATGCTGAAAGGCCACTTCACATCTGGAAGAGTCACAGAAAGAGCTTGAAAATTCACCCAGCAGCTATCTACCATTGCTTCCAGCCCTTGACATCAGTCTGAAGACTACAGGAGGACTCATTTGCTTATTAATCTTTAAAACTAATTCTAAACTATAAAATGATAAATAGGATTTTCCCAACTGGTTTTATAAGTCTGAATCTCAGATGACATCTTTCACAGCTTCATCCTTCATATAAACCAGATGTTCTCCCATTCATTGCAGTCTCTTATACCCACCAAACAAAGCATGGTATTGAAGCAAATGTCATTTTTTAATTGTAATGAACCAAGCTACTTTAGTTAGAGGCTCCTTCCCATACTTGCTTTGAGATTCAAACTGATGCCAAGAGTCATACATAACATTTAACATGGATGTTTAACCTTCAAGAACTGTCCAAAGACCAAATAACAAATTTACTTATAGAGTAATTGACTTTGGGACCAGCAGTTAGCATAATGACTATGTTGCTGAACTCCCATGTAGTCGGCTGCAGTTCGAGTCCCGGACCCAGTGGCTTAAACTCATGCCAGGCACGTGTGCGTGTGTGCCCAAGATCCTGAGAGGAGAATGGAGGAAAAGGGATTGCAACGTGGCTATCCCCCCCCACCACCAGGGGTGATTTCTTGCTTTCTGTCCCTCTGTCTCTCTGTCTTTCTGGCGAGTGCATGTGCCCTGTAGCAAAAAAACTCTCAAAAAAAAAAAAAGAGTAATTGACTTTTATTCATGATTCATTAATCAAGGCAGCCTCCATTCTACAAAATAGAATGAGAGCTTCCACTGGGCAATATCCAAACAGTGGGTTTTGTAAGATGGAACAAGGAAACACACACTGGGAAAAAAACTTCTGTGCTAGCATAGGTTACTTTTTTATAAGGGTTAAAACGGAAGGGACTTGCTTATTACACTGATACAGGTAAACTGGAATATTCTGTCTTCAGGAAAAACTAGTCTGTTTTGGATTCTATTTTCTTACACTTGCAGTTTGATTATATGGCATTTTGCATAAGTGATTTATTTTAGTTTGGCCTCTTCTACTGGAGCCTAGTATAGGAACTGAATACAAGATAACGTTTTCCCATAATTTTTGTTTAGTAGTACCGGGAAAAAGAAAAATGAAAAGACAAGGCTAGAAAAGCGAAGTTAGCCAGAGGACAATTAAGATGAAAAGTGGAAGGAGGAGAAAAACCAATGGAGTTTTATTGTCCTGTTAGGAAACCAGTTTCAAAGGTGAAAGTGTCAGTTTACAGTCTCACAGCTCTGCCTGACAGGAAGTGTTTGCTCTAAATCCTAATTTGGGTGTGTTCCTGTAGAAATGGCAAGCTCTCTCCTAAGGGAAACAGAAACTCAATCATGCACGAAACTAGACACTGAAGAAGCAGTTGTAGTTCAGCGTGGCCACAAGTAACTGTGGTGTGGAGACAGAGAAAAGCTGCTCTTCATTAGAGAGCAAGTAATACTCTTCACAATGAGAGGCCGAAGATTGCCCGTGGACATTCAGATCTTTTATTGTGCCAGACCTGACCAAGAGCCTTTTGTGAAGGTATGTTGGAGTGTGTTCTCAAGAGCTGAGAAGGTGCCGGTGAGTTCTCAGTGATCTGTCACTCAGTGCGTTTTAAAATTCCTTCTAATTAGAAAGGATTTCACCGACATTTCAAGCACAGCAGGTATTTTATTTGGTGTGGAGATGGATATGGTGTGGTTCCTCCTTCCCTTTTGAAGCCAGACATTGTATTTGATTTTTTTTTTTCTTTTCACAGCCTGGTTTTGTATCTGTGGCAATTGTAGAGTTCACCAAAAACAAATGGCACTTTATTTAATACATTTAAAATGTTAGAGTCATGATTTTTGATAGTGTTTTCTCTGCACAAACAGTCCTCCAGAAGACGGTAAAATTTACAAGTGAATTTCCTTACTCGTGCATCTCAGATAGTGGCGGGAACTTTATTTCTGCCGCTGTGCATCTTAGAAAGAGAGTCATGCATTATCTGACAGCTCTCACTAGGTGGGACTTTAATGCTTTTTCTCTTTAATACACTTGCTAAAATGGGTAACCAGGAATTTTTGTGAATTAGAGTCTAATAGAGATCTTTCCATTTCAGAATAATTTGTTTGTTTATATTTAATTTTAAAAAGGCAAAAAAATGGATTTTGAAGTGAAATGGATGCTGGTAGTTCCTAAGCATAGCTACAGCTGAATAATACATGTTCGGTACAGTGTGATGTCTCTTGATTTAGAAGGAAAGAAGACTAGAATACTTTGATCATCTCTAAACTGTACATAAAGAACCATGACCTACTTGTAATTTAGAGTAAAGCCTCTGCTCTTTTCCTTGTTGTTCCTGGGAGCTCTTATCATTCATTATTTTTATCAGAACTCGGCTGCAGTTCGAGTCCCGGACCCAGTGGCTTAAACTCATGCCAGGCACGTGTGCGTGTGTGCCCAAGATCCTGAGAGGAGAATGGAGGAAAAGGGATTGCAACGTGGCTATCCCCCCCCACCACCAGGGGTGATTTCTTGCTTTCTGTCCCTCTGTCTCTCTGTCTTTCTGGCGAGTGCATGTGCCCTGTAGCAAAAAAACTCTCAAAAAAAAAAAAAGAGTAATTGACTTTTATTCATGATTCATTAATCAAGGCAGCCTCCATTCTACAAAATAGAATGAGAGCTTCCACTGGGCAATATCCAAACAGTGGGTTTTGTAAGATGGAACAAGGAAACACACACTGGGAAAAAAACTTCTGTGCTAGCATAGGTTACTTTTTTATAAGGGTTAAAACGGAAGGGACTTGCTTATTACACTGATACAGGTAAACTGGAATATTCTGTCTTCAGGAAAAACTAGTCTGTTTTGGATTCTATTTTCTTACACTTGCAGTTTGATTATATGGCATTTTGCATAAGTGATTTATTTTAGTTTGGCCTCTTCTACTGGAGCCTAGTATAGGAACTGAATACAAGATAACGTTTTCCCATAATTTTTGTTTAGTAGTACCGGGAAAAAGAAAAATGAAAAGACAAGGCTAGAAAAGCGAAGTTAGCCAGAGGACAATTAAGATGAAAAGTGGAAGGAGGAGAAAAACCAATGGAGTTTTATTGTCCTGTTAGGAAACCAGTTTCAAAGGTGAAAGTGTCAGTTTACAGTCTCACAGCTCTGCCTGACAGGAAGTGTTTGCTCTAAATCCTAATTTGGGTGTGTTCCTGTAGAAATGGCAAGCTCTCTCCTAAGGGAAACAGAAACTCAATCATGCACGAAACTAGACACTGAAGAAGCAGTTGTAGTTCAGCGTGGCCACAAGTAACTGTGGTGTGGAGACAGAGAAAAGCTGCTCTTCATTAGAGAGCAAGTAATACTCTTCACAATGAGAGGCCGAAGATTGCCCGTGGACATTCAGATCTTTTATTGTGCCAGACCTGACCAAGAGCCTTTTGTGAAGGTATGTTGGAGTGTGTTCTCAAGAGCTGAGAAGGTGCCGGTGAGTTCTCAGTGATCTGTCACTCAGTGCGTTTTAAAATTCCTTCTAATTAGAAAGGATTTCACCGACATTTCAAGCACAGCAGGTATTTTATTTGGTGTGGAGATGGATATGGTGTGGTTCCTCCTTCCCTTTTGAAGCCAGACATTGTATTTGATTTTTTTTTTTCTTTTCACAGCCTGGTTTTGTATCTGTGGCAATTGTAGAGTTCACCAAAAACAAATGGCACTTTATTTAATACATTTAAAATGTTAGAGTCATGATTTTTGATAGTGTTTTCTCTGCACAAACAGTCCTCCAGAAGACGGTAAAATTTACAAGTGAATTTCCTTACTCGTGCATCTCAGATAGTGGCGGGAACTTTATTTCTGCCGCTGTGCATCTTAGAAAGAGAGTCATGCATTATCTGACAGCTCTCACTAGGTGGGACTTTAATGCTTTTTCTCTTTAATACACTTGCTAAAATGGGTAACCAGGAATTTTTGTGAATTAGAGTCTAATAGAGATCTTTCCATTTCAGAATAATTTGTTTGTTTATATTTAATTTTAAAAAGGCAAAAAAATGGATTTTGAAGTGAAATGGATGCTGGTAGTTCCTAAGCATAGCTACAGCTGAATAATACATGTTCGGTACAGTGTGATGTCTCTTGATTTAGAAGGAAAGAAGACTAGAATACTTTGATCATCTCTAAACTGTACATAAAGAACCATGACCTACTTGTAATTTAGAGTAAAGCCTCTGCTCTTTTCCTTGTTGTTCCTGGGAGCTCTTATCATTCATTATTTTTATCAGAACTGGTTTCTATGTGCACAACCTGGAGAGAGAATGCCAGGAACCTTGATTAAAAACTGTCCTTATCATCCCAAACACCCTATTTATAGAAAGCTTACTGAATGATCTCTGATTAGTCCCTTAACAATTCAAACTTAGATGCTGGCTACAGGTGAATAGTTTAGGTCATTTCAAGGTAAAAGTTGCTTAAAGAGTGATATAAGCACACCATTCTCACTCAGTGACTGAACAATCAACAGCCATAATAAAACTAGAAAACTCATGACTTTAATTTGTCTGTAGTCAATGCCAATGCCTCAGCTGGACTGCTTTAAATTCTGTATTTGTTCTAAAATGTAAGAGTTTTAGAAATTTCCGCCAAGTCTTGTTCAATGTATCTCCAACTGAGGAAGCTTCATCTTTTCAGGCAATTGTTTACCTGAGGTAGGTTTTTAGCAGTTGGAAGGAAAGTAGCTACATCATTTTTCTTGGCTTGTTTTCTCATTTTAGATCATCACTGTGGAGGAGGCAAAGCGTCGGAAAAGCACATGCAGCTATTATGAGGACGACGAGGAGGAAGTGTTGCCTATTCTGCAGCCCCACAGTGCGCTCCTGGAGAACATGCACATAGAGCAGGTGGGCCATCCCTGGGAAGTAGCAGGGGGTGTTGAAGGCCTTAAGTGGCATTTCCCATGCAACACCACACTCGTGTCTTCCACTCATGCTGTAGGATGAGTCGGGTTGGAAAGGGAAGATGCTACAGCCTACCAAGGCCAGCGTCCCCCTTCTCTGCTTCCGAAAAGCTACAGCATCTCATTCTTTGATCTCTTCTCGGAAGTGCAAGCAGTTGGTCAGACACTAATATCCTTCTCTCAAATATGAAGGAAAAGCCATTTTTTTTCATCTTAAAACAAGTTTGCAGAGTCTCCATGACTTTAATTTATACAGCTCAATAAAAGTAAAGTAGCAAATACACTTCCTTTATGAAAAATTCTACCCTCTAGAAAGAAATTTCCTTTTTATGTAATTTTCATTGAGTGTATTTTCTGAAAATTTATTACTTATAGCTTATGAAATAGTATTCATGTATTTATATTTGATCCTTAGTAAAGAATCTCTTTTACTTCTCTCATTGATGGGCTTAGAAAATGGAATTTTAGAGACCTCAAAGCATCATCAAGTTCAGCCTCCCTTGGTTTACAAATGAGTCAGTATAGGCCTAGGAAAGCCAAGAAACGTAACCAGGCCATCAGCAGAGGTGGGGTTCATGCTGATGGCAAAACTCATTTTAAGTATTCAGGAGACTTAGCACCTCATTGTCTTCCTTGGTAGTGTTTTTGGAGAGTATATAGATGGTCCTCAACTTACAGTAGTTCAACTTACAATTTTTTCGACTTTATGATTGTGTGAAAGTGATACATATTAAATAGAAACTGTATTTTGAGTACCCATACAGCCATTCTCTTTCCATTTTCAGCAAAGTATTCAGTAAATTATATGAGCTATTCAATATGTTGTTATAAATAGGTTTTATGTGAGATGATTTTGCATAATTGTAGGCTAATATCTGTGTTCTGAGCAAATTTAAGGTGGGATAGACAAAGCTATATATTATTTGGTAGGTTAGGTGTATCAAATCCATCTTTGACTTTTGATTTTTCAGTTTACAGTGAGCTTATCATGATGTAATCTCATTGTAAGTCAAGAACATCTATACATTATTCATATTGATGATAGCCAAGCTCAAGCTAAATATTGACGGATGTAGGTGAAAGATGCAGGTCCAGTGAGAACAGACCACATCCGATTTCTAGCATGGAACACCTGCTTTCTCGCTCTCACTTCTAGAGGGAGCTGCCATTGTCAGTAGCAATTCTGAGGTCAAGAGAGATTAGAAGGAACAAATAGAGAAATATGAACTGTTTGGTGGAAGTCAGGTTGAAGTAAGGAAGAGCATGTGTCTAGTTTACAGTCCTTATGCTGCTTAATCTGTGTCTACAACTGTACAATGGTACAGGCACCTTGGTCAGGTCCATGAGCAGGGAAGCATCTTCTGTGCAGCAAGGTAAACACTGTCGAGCAGTGATTTGTTCATCACTTTCTGGGATTATAGAGGCAAATATTTGCTATGATAAAGGGGAGCAATATGTAAGTAAGTATATGATTTTGAGTTTGAATCACAGTCTCATGATTTATACCACAAGTTTCTCAGTGTTTTTTGGGTGAGCCATCTACTTACATCTCCATCTTTGAATCTGCAGCTGGCCCGACGCCTTCCAGCCAGGGTGCAAGGGTATCCATGGAGACTGGCCTATAGCACATTAGAACATGGGACTAGCTTGAAAACTCTCTATCGGAAATCAGCCTCACTAGATAGTCCTGTCCTATTGGTCATCAAAGATATGGATAATCAGGTGAGTCCTCTTTCTCTCATAGAAAACATTTTTAATGATAATTTTCAAACCTGCCCAACAGTAGAGAGACTAGTACAATAAAATCTCATGACCCAGAATCCACATTTAGCAGGATTTTGCCACATTTGCTTCTTCTGTGTTTCTTTTTCTTTTTTAAGTTTATTTTTATTTATGACAAAAAGCACATGTGTGCACATGAGAGAGAAAGAGAAAGTACTTCTAACAGGGCCAAATCACCTTGCAATCCTTTTTCTCCAGCTCTCCATCCTGTCAGGATCCTGGGCATGCATGAGCACGAGCCCAACATGAAGCCAATGGGGCTAGGATTTGAACCCTGGTCATATCTTTCTTTTGTTTAATCTTTATTTCTAATTTGAAGTAAATCCTAATAAGTCATTCTACCCCATGTATTTCAGAATCTTCTTAAAATGGAGCGTGTTTCCAAATATAATCACAATCTAATATTATTTTTTCCTATGGCCACCATGGAGTAGGAAACTATAATGATATTCCATAACCTGCAGCTGGAAAATTAGGGAAATGGCAAAGTCTAGGTTTGGAAATAGTTGTAGAGTAAGCTTCAGAAGCAGACCAGAGCTTTTCCATGTGGCTGAAGTTGTGTCCATAAAACTTGCCTGCGTCATGGCCATGATGGAGAGTCAGATAAGACCATGGTATGCAGTGCCTGAAGGACTCACTTTTTAAGAAGCAGCAGGAAATGTTCTGGACATTCTTGACTATGTGTGCTCACCTGCATTACAGTTGGTCTTTTTTGAAGACATTGGTGAAATCTAGAGATTACCCCTATCTACTCTACACAGTTACTATCTCTCAAGTCAGCTTGGAGTATGAGTGGAATCTGTCTTGATTTCTTTTTTTGTGGAAAGGTTTTTGCCATAGGGCGTGTGCTCTCACCAGACAGACAGAGAGAGAGGCAGAGAGACAGAAAGCGAGAAATCACTCCCCAGGGGGGATGGCCACGCCGCAGTCCCTTCTCCATTCTTCTCTTGGGATCTTGGGCATGCACGCACATGCGCCCAGTGTGAGTTTTAAGCCACCGGGTCTGGGACGCGAACCACAGTCGACTACATGGGAGTCCAGCGACATAGCCATTACGCTAACTGCTGGTCCCTGTCTTGATTTCTTTCATTTACTAATCATTCAGTCACAAGGGAAGGCATCACTCAAGTCTGCCCTTTAGTCATTTTAGTTTTTTGCTTTTTTGTTTGTTTGTTTGCTATAGAGCATGTACATTTACCAGAAAAAAGACAGAGACAGTGAGAGAGAGAAAGCATCCCTTAGAGGGGATAGCCACACTACAATCCCTTCTACCCCATACTCTTTTCAAGATTTTGGGCACACATGCCCAGCATATTCTTCAAGTTACTGGGCCCAGGACTTGAGCTTTACAGTTAGCCATGTGGGATCCATAACACCACTTGCTGGTCCACCACTCATTTCAATTTGAGCCGTGTTACATTAAGAAGAAGTTCTTCTTAAGCTTTTAAGATGTGGTTGTATTTAAGCAGATTTTATTCACCCACAATTTACGCATTTATTTATCCACTGGACCAATGTTTAATGGGTGCCTGTTACATGCAAGGTACTATTAGGCATTGAGAGTTTCTGTGGAGCACAAAATCTTTATATTGACAATGTCCCATCTCTATTATTTTAAAGTTTACTTATTTATTTCTTCCATGAGAGGGAGAGAGTTGGCTGGAGGGTGGGAGGAGCACACCCAATGAGTCTTCATGCTGCCATCTACTCCCAGCCTCAGCCAGCCTTGATCATGGGACTGTGTGCACATGCCCAGCATATAGGGAGGCCTTGGGATATGAACCTGGGATCTTCTCTTGTGAGCCCAGTATTGCAGAGCTATATTACTACTGTGCTGCCAGCTGGCCCATGCCTACCTCTTAATGAGTGATATAAATGGGATCATTTTAGAGGAAATGGAATTTTGCTGTCATAATTTGTCACAGGAAAAATTAAGGGAGAGATAAGGGTACTGAAGACACTGTCTTTCCCAATGGTGTTCTTTTTTACTTTATTGCAGAATCATTGTAGCCTAAGAGTTGTTGGGAGGAGTCTGGTTAATATTTTAGTCACTGTTATTATTTCCTGGTCAATGGCATTTTGTTTAATAATGATCTAAGCTGCTAAGTGGTTACAGATTCCAGCTAAAACATTAAAAATAATAATAACAGGTGGTCGAATATGGAATGACTTAGAAATTTAATGCAATGTTTGAGAAACTGGGTGCTGTTTTTTTAAAACATAGCTAGATTGTCTTAGTCTAAACACACAAACATTCCCCATAACTGTAGATTCATTTCCCTGATTATTTACCAAAGGTGATTGATTTGTTGCAAGTGTGATGATTCACACAGAGCAGGAATTGACAATGCACAATTTCATCAAGCTTCCTCGTAGCGGATACTTGCAGAAGACCTACAACTAATGCATACACTACTTGTCCAGGCTGGAGTCCTACTGAATCATGTACCCTGAAGGCACTTGTGCGATTTGAAAACACCTGGACCCTAACTCTGATTTCCCTACCCTATCAACCCCCAAGGGCAGAGTGTGATTTGCATTTTTTAGCATGGTAGAACAACACCTGTAAGTTTATATGAAAATGAATTACATAAAATTCTAATATACAATATTCTATATGTACAATGACAGCAATGAAGAACTCTGCAGAATTAATCCCCAGTAAAATAACCGTAACTGATAAAATCTGCAAAAATAGCAGTTACCTGAAGTCTTCGGAAAATGTCCTAAGGGCATAGAGCAAGTGATGAAATAGACAAGAAAATCTAATCAATCTCAATAATAGCACGAAATTCTGTGGTGCTTATGGCTCAACCTCATCCTCCCCAAAACCCACAGCTTGTACTGACAGTAGCTACACTCTGCATAAGTGTGGCCAAGAAGATGATGTTCTCTCTCCCCACAGTTGCCAGTCAAGGGCTATGGTATACCCTCTCTAGTTGCAGTTCCCCAGCAAGTCTTATCTTCCACCTAACCCAGGCAGTTGTGGCCTAGAGCAGGGATCCCCCACGTTGGGCCTTGCACTGGTGCTGGTCCATGGCCTATTGCTCCTCCTATCCCTCCCTTGCCCGGCCACACACTAGGAGGTGGGTGGTGGACCAGCGAGGGAGGCTTCATTTGTGTTTGTAACCATTCCCCATCACTCACATTGTTGCCTGGGCTCTGTCTCTTGTCAGATCAATGTGCTCATGGGAGCATAAATCCTATTGTTATATGATTGTTTCATTGTATATTTCAGTGTTCTAGTGGAGGAAATGGGGTGCACAGTGGATGTGGTGTGCTTGTGTCATCTAAGTATACATTCCCCAGCCTGCTCCGCCCATAGAGGGATTATTTTCCATGAGGTTAGTCCCTGGGGCCAAGAAGGTTGGAGACTGCTGGCCTAGAGGAAGGAGGTTCTCTTCTATCCAGCCTCCTCTCATAGGGCAGATGCTCACCATAGGCATGGCAGCCTGGGAATACAGCGGTCTCCACCACTGTTGTAGTAGCTCATAAGACAGAAGTTCCACACCAAGTGGAGCAAGCCGAAACCAGAGCTACTGCCCTGCCCAGCACCTGCTTGTAAAATAAGGTCATTCCTCTGAGAGAACATACATTTAGTCCATTCTGTTGCTAACAAATACCCAAGATTGGGTGATTAATAAAGAAATAGGGGTTTATTCCCTCACGATTCTGGTGGCTGGAAAGTACAAAGGTGTAGATCTGGCATTAGGCTGGCCTACATCTGGCAACATAAAGCAACAGCTCTCGAGAGAACTAACCCCTTCTCAGGAGAACTGGAACTCACTGAGTCTCAAAAGACAGCATTGATCTAGTGGTGATGCTTCCATGATGCAGTCATCAGGATCCAGTCAACTGCACACTGGGTATCACTACCTCCCAACACCAAATTCCAAACACAAAACTTGAGGAGACAAACCCACTATCCAGATCATAACAAATGCCATTATATACAGGTTACCTACAACTTCTGTCTAAGTAAGTTAATCAAAGCAAACAAAGCAAATGGGTATTTTCTTACACAATCACAGTGCTGTAGACCTAACCAAATTAGCAATAATTCGGTATTATCTCATCCCTAATTCTTAAATGGATTTCCATTATTGCTAAGAACATTTTAGCTACAAAAGAATATAATTATGTAGAACCTTGTGGTAGATGAAGGACTAAGAACGAGTTTCTTATTAATTGATCAAAAAGGGACCTACTTTTTCCACCTATTGCCATTGCTCTTCTGGTCACATTTTAGCACCATGCTTTTAAAATTAGATGCTATCTTAGGTTTTCCCGGTCCTGGTGATTAAGTAGCTGGATCCCACATAGCCAACTGCACAGTTGGAGTCCTGGACCCTGCAGCTTGAGAAACATACCTAGCTCATGTGTGTGCTTAAAATTTTAAAAGAAGAGAGAAATGGAGGAGAAGGGATTGTGGTGTGACCATGCCCAGTGGGAGGTGCTTTCTTACTTTCCCTGTCTTTATCTCTTTTTCTCCCTGTCTCTCTCTGACAAGCACATGCAGCCTCTGGGGGGGGGAAGCTATCTTTGTTATATTTTAGTTGTTTTACTGAAGATCACCAGAAGAGAAACAGATGCGTTATTACTGTTTTGCTTTTCTTTGTTCTTACAGCTGTACAGAAAGGTTTGGTAAAAGGAAGTATTAAGAACATGAGTTAGAAAAAGTTCCTAGACCTCTACTGTACCTAATATTGAGTATTTCAAGTCATCAGGAACTAAGCGTAATTGGTGGAGAGTGCATAGTAACTATCATCCATTGCAAGTTTTGTTGGGGACCAGCAGTTAGCGTAATGACTATGTCGCTGGACTCCCATGTAGTTGACCGCAGTTCGTGTCCTGGACCCGGTGGCTTAAAACTCACGCTGGACGCGTGTGCATGCGTGCCCAAGAGAGGAGAATGGAGGAGAAGGGATTGCGGCGTGGCCATCCTCCCTGGGGGTTGATTTCTCGCTTTCTATCTCTCTGTCTGTCTGGTGAGCGTACACGCCCTATAGCAAAAACATCTCCAAAAAAAAAAAAAAAGTTTTTTTGAAAAATGGTAAGACTTTATGTGAGATAACTTCTATTCAAAGTAGTGTCTGACAAGTGGAATTTGGAGTAGGAAACATATATGACTCACCTAGGGACATTTTCAAAAAGATATGTATGCTCATCTTTGTCAACCCCTACAAATACAGATCAGGGTTTGAACAGAGGGATAGGGTGCTGGGGAAGTGGTAAACATATTCTGAAAATATGTCCCTCGTGCAACTTGGCCCTCCTTCCTTCCCAACAAGAATAAGTAGAATAATCAGTGATTTAAACATACCAAATCTCCCTTAAAGCCCATAGTGTTATAAAGTTGTTATTTTTTTCTTAAAAATCACTGCAAAACAAGATACATTGAATCAATCACATTAAGGATATAATTTTAATCAGTGTATTATTAACTCATTATTACAAATCCAAAGGAAGGACACCTTATTTTCACAAAGGAAGCATTCAGCTATGATACCACTTTCAAAACACCTAAGAGATATGGCTTTTCTCAAGAACTCATTCCTACATGCAAGATTCATTTTGTTGTTTAATATTCCCAACATGTTGTCTATATTCACTAAAGGAAATTTGTTTCCATACTGGGCTTTGGAAGTCTTTAAAAATTGGAAGAAATCACTGGCCTTTGATAAACAAATCCTCTGGGTGGGTTTTTCACTTACCAGAAAGTCTGGTTGCTTGGGTTTTAATAAGAGCTGGGGACATTTTGTTGGTGTTTTTCTTTTAGAGCTCCGTTTTAGTAATAATCTTTGCTGAAGAGGGCATAATGAGATCTTAGAACAAGACTGTGTCAAAAATATTTCAGAGAGCCTTTTATAGAGATGTTCAGATGTACAAATAGATGTCATTTATCTTTTCTTTTGACAGATTTTTGGAGCATATGCAACTCATCCATTCAAGTTCAGTGACCACTATTACGGCACGGGCGAAACTTTTCTCTACACATTTAGCCCTAATTTCAAGGTACCTAGATGGAGAAATGTCATACTTCCCAAAGTCACACTGTCTGCATTAGAAACGGATGGGTGTGAGGGTGTGGAAGTGGCAGTGAGCATTGGGGCAGCAGCTCTCCTGTAACCTCAGCGGGGCTCACTGCAGCATACAAATTGCTTAGGGTCTCTGGCCCTCGGAGTTGCTTAGTCTGGGATCCAGGAAGGGATTACAGTTAGAGCAAGCATGTGCCCAAAAGGTCTTTCCTACTTCATGACCATATCAGAGATTTGATGTGAGCCAAGTCTGCAGTGAGAAGCTTCCCTAGGCAGTAGGGTGGATCCCTTTCATACAGAGGTGTTCTCTAGTATTCTCTTTCTTCTGCTTCTCCAGATTAAAATGTCTGCTCTCTCTTTTGTGTTTCTACCCCAAGGTCTTTAAGTGGAGTGGAGAAAACTCGTATTTTATCAATGGAGACATAAGTTCTTTAGAACTTGGTGGTGGAGGGTAAGGTTTTTGTTTTTTTTGTTGTAGTTGTTGTTTTACCATATGGCCCGTGTAAGCCTGCTTTGACTCTAGCCCTTTTGCTTAGATTAACTAGGAAAATGACCTTAATAGCACATGACACTAAAAATCAAAGATGTCATTATTTTTATGCCTAAATGAAAAACTACCACTATTTGTCTTATTACTTTTTTTTTTTTTTGGAGAGGTTTTTGCTATAGGGCATGTGCGCTCGCCAGACAAAGAGAGACAGAGAGACAGAAAGCAAGAAATCACCCCCCAGAGGGGATGGCCATGCCACAGTCCCTTCTCCTGCATTCTCCTCTCGGGATCTTGGGCATGCATGCACACGCGCCCGGTGTGAGTTTTAAGCCACTGGGTCGGGGACACGACCCGTGGTCGACTACATGGGAGTCCAGCGACATAGCCATTACACTAACTGCTGGCCCCTCCCCTATTTGTCTTTTAAAAGATAGGTCATCTAAAGGAAGTATATCCTTTGTATTACAAGCAGTTTAGGATTTTGTCTGTCTATGGCATAAAGAGAAGATAGGGCAAGAGAGAGTAAAAAGTGTGCAACATGAGTTAAGCAATGTCACCTCCTTTTTTTTTTACTTTTTCAGGGGACGTTTTGGCTTGTGGCTAGATGCTGATTTATATCATGGACGAAGCAACTCTTGCAGCACTTTCAATAATGACATTCTATCCAAAAAGGAAGACTTCATAGTTCAGGACCTAGAAGTATGGACATTTGAGTGAAATTCAGACTGCCTTAAGATACCTTACAGAGACTGGGTTCGGTCAGCCCTCCTGGAGCTGGCTGGAAGATGAAGCCCCAGCTCAGGCTGCCTCATCCCACCATCCTGCTTTCTTTCTGCCATCATTTCAGAGCATGATCACACTGCAGAAAGATTCTGAAAGGTACGTGTGGAGGCAGACACTGAAGAAAGAAATCTGAAGTTCACATGGAAAGACTTTGTACTTCTACTTCCTTTAATTCCATACAGTGAGGAATCAGAGTGTTTATAGATGTATGAGTTGAATGCAATTTTTATTTTTGGTAACTGTGAAAAAAATAAGATACTGTGGAAATATATACATGCCTTGTGTATTTATCAGCATAATTTTCATTACCAAAATGTACAGATTTTGTTTGCCATGAAAAAGGTGAGTTTCATTTAGAAAAATTGGAAGTGCACAGCACTTAAAGGGAATATATGATTTTTTTTAAACTTTTATTTATTATTTCTAGTATATTGTCTAAAATGTGTTGGCAGGTTTTTTTTTTCTTTTAATGTGTCAAAAATTGAAATAAAGAAATGTACACATTTTGTGCTATGTTTTGGGAACAAATCTGTTTGATTTATATAGTTTTATATTGAATTTTTTTTTGCCCTGATTGTTTAGGGTAAATAGATAAATTAGCAAAATATCTATCTATCTACCTACCTATTTACCTACCTACCTACCTATCTAGATATACCTAGATTCCTAGATCTAGATACCTAGATAGATAGATAGATACATGCATTTTTAAAAACTCATTATTAGTGTCTATTGATCTGACTATTAGAGGCCAGCTTTTCATTTAGTCATTAAACAAGGTACATTTTTAGTTACTTACTCTGAGCATATTTGTGTAAAGAAGAATATGCCATTCCTCACAGCATAAATTGATACTTAAAGAAATGGATACCTTTATGAACCTAGACTTATGACAAACCAGCTTTAGAAAAGAAAATGTTTTGTTTTGTTTTTTATAAAATTATATGTGTTAATAACAAAAACTTTATTTTATCGTTTTTTTTTTTCCACAACTCTCCCTGAGCGTTTGCATTAACAAACAGGCCTCCATTTTAAGAGACTGTGTTTTAATTTCTGCATTTTTAAAATCAAATGAAAAATGTTGAATTGGCCCAATTGTCTTGGTTTCTGGATTCTCTTATTTAAGAAAAAGCAGTGCAAGAAAATTCATTCATACAAAAATTGGAATGAAAAGGAAAATATTTTTAAAATATCAAACCATTCTCACATTATAAACACTCCTATTAAAAAATATAGCCAAATTATTGATGCCGGACTTCAATGAAAGCCAAAGACTGCTAGTGGAAACAATTTTTGAATAGCCAAAGCTGAAAATGGGTTGTCATAAATTACTTCCCTAATAAACTCTGAAAGGAAAAATGAGTAACAAGTAATATTTACATTCCTGCATTTTAGAAGAAAATGTTCTTAGAGTATTAGCCTCAAACTGGCAGAATATTTTCTTTATGTTAATTCTCCTATTTTAGACTGTTTGTAAAGGAGAACAAATTGTCAGTGGTCTCCTGTCAGATCAGCAGTCATTGTCCTCCACTCACATTCCATGCAAGTTTAAATAAATGCTATACCATTTAAAATCTGTAGCCTGGGTATTCTTCTCACTCAGGCTCTATTCAGGACTCTTGATTAACAACGTATTGGCAGTTTAACCTTGATCTGCTTGTTCAGTAATGTGTTGGTGTGAAATAGCGGGACTGTCTCATGATGGTCGCATTTACCACTTATGCCATTTGCAACCATATGCTATTAATAAACAAAATGGTCATTTTGCATATAGTTTACTCTTACCTAGTTTAGTCCTTGATACTATACTTGTGAGAGCATATCCAGACACTGTGTTCTCTATTTAAAACAGTATTGTCCAATCCGAAATGTGTGACCCCTCATTTATGGATATTGACTATATGTAATGCAGTGCTATTCCAATATTTTCAATAAAGGACTTTATGCATTCAGTGTGATTTTCTTTCCCAATGATCATTCGTCAGGTATTCATTGGATATGAAGTACATGAATTTTTACAAACTCATTATCAGTGCCTACTGCTTTGACTACTAAAGGCCAGCTTTCCTTGAGTCATTAAACAAGGTACATTTTTAGTTACTTACCCCTGAACATATTTGTGTAAAGCATAATACGCCATTTCTTATCGTCATAAACTGATGCTTATAGAAACAGATTCCTTTATGAACCTAGACTTATAATAAACCTGGCTTTTGAAAAGAGAATTTCTTCTGTGAGTGGAAGAGGAAATAACCAAGACTAAACAAGGGTCAGTGCTCAGATTTTCAGCTCTGCCCTGGGAAGTCCCTCTTCAGTCTCTGTAATCCATGGAAACTGTTCCTGATGTAGTTCCTAGAGAAAACTCTTGGCTCTACCTACCAGCTTATTCTCTGTCCTTAATTCTTCAGCTGTTCTGTGAATGAAGACCTTCACCTTTTAATATCTGCTGCAATCTATTTTCTAATTTCCATGAGAAACATCTCCTGATATATATATATATATACACACACACACACACACACACACACACACACATATATATATAAATATATACATATATAAATATATAACTACATCATGAAAAGTCATGAGGTATTGTCTTCTATGTTTTTCTTTGCGAAAATACATCATGACTTTTCCAACAACTATGTGTGTACCTTGCTCCTAAAGATGAAGACCCCAGGGACTAGAAGTTAGCATAATGGCTATGTTGCTTGACTCCCATGTAGTCGACCATGGTTCATGTCCCAGACCCAGTGGCTTAAAACTCATGCCAGGCGCGTGTGCGTGCACGACCAAGATCCCGAGAGGAGAATGGAGGATAAGGGATTGTGGCGTGACCCTCCCCCCGGGGGGTGATTTCTCGCTTTCTGTCTCTCTTTCTTTCTCTTGTCTGTCTGGCTAGCGCACGTGCCCTATAGCAAAAGCCTCTACAAAGAAAAAAAAAAAAAGATGAAGACCCCAAATGGTCTTTATTGTTTCCTAATTCCTTAGTTCACAAGTCTATATCAGAGGGCTTGGTTGTGCAGGACGGATTGGAGGAGGCAACTCAGTTTTTTTAATACTGTGTTGAAAAATATTTAGGTGTATTCCCATGCTACAAGCTACCAGGGACACCCTGAACTGGTGTGAGAAGTATGGTTTCCCTTCATTGATTTCCCTTTTCTTGACTTCATTACAGTTTTAGAGATATATAAAACAGGACCAATAAAAGAACTACTTTCCTTTTGACGACAGTATTGAGACTCTCTTAAACCAGAAAAGGGTGCTAAGGTTTATGGTTTTCTTGTGAGAACCAATCTATTTTTACCAATTTAATCAGATAGGGGAAAGTAAGGAGGTGAGAAGCCAAAAGAAGTTCTAGAAAACTCGAAGATAGCTACACACACCCTTGCGCCTTTGACCACTTCCTCCTGCCCAATCAGGTCACAGTCTCATTCAGGAAAATGCCCAAACCTCAGGGCATTTAATCTTTTGCCCCCTGCCTTCTTGCCTATAATCATTATTCATAATAGTCCTCTAGCAGAAGGCATGTTTGCTGTGAAAATTAAGTTCACAAGTTATACCAAATTCTACTTACTTCCTTCCTATTTTAAATGCCTAGTGGTTAATAATAAAAATGAGATAAGGCTTCCCCAGATATGGTTGATTACATCATCAAAATGGTGTTTCTTGATAGAATAACTTTGGAGACCTGTTTATCTTCACATTAGAGCTGCCCAATACAACATTCTACAGTGATGGAAATGTTCACCAACTCCTACTGTCCTTTATGGTAGCCACTTGCTACCGTATATTAAGGTTGAACACTCAAAATGTGCCTTTGGTGATTGACAAGCTGATTTTTTAAAAATTAATTAAGATTTTTTTAAGTTTATGTTTTCCATAAGAGAGAGAGAGAGACAAACAGAGACAAGCACACCCCATAGGGTCTTCATGCTCCAAACCACCACCAAACTCGGCTTGTCTGAATCACAGGCATGTGTGTGTGCCCAGCATGCTCAGGGAAGTTTCAGGATGTAAACCCACAACTTCTTATATGGACCCCACTACATTACCACTGTGGTACTACCTAATCCTCATTTAAATCTAAATAACTACATGTGACCAGTGACTACCATATTGATCTGCACAGATCAGGATGTTAGTGCCATCATATTTCATCCGCTATTTAGCCAGACTATGATTCTTTCAACAGAAGAGAATGTTCAGCTCCAAGAACTTTCACTAGTTCTGCCATTTTGGATCTTCACACAGCTTGGCTCCATCTAAGGATATAGTGTGCCTCTTACTGTGTAGGTAGGCAGCTTATGAAGCAACCGAAGAGCTCACTTCCTAGAGAGTTCATAATGAAAAGTTTTACCTATACACGATTACTGATTTCCTTCTCTAATCAAAGGCAATAAAAACATTTCCCAGTTCCCAGACTTTGTTTCATATAAAATTTTCTTAGGATGGCCAACAGTATGTGTTATGTTCCTACACTGGACATTCTTCTGTCCATGGCAGCCCTGTAGGATGCCATGTCCCTTAACTGGCACCTACCTACAATGCACAATGGATCATCTCAAAGAAAACAACTCGTTCCTTACACAGAATTGTACATCCAGTCTCAGAATCACCAGGAATATTGGAACCATCAAGAATGCCTCACACAACGCTATTTAGTGAGCAATATTCCTTACCACAGTTGTCAGCTGGGATGTCCACCAAGCCACGTGTACACCCAGAGGACCCGCTAACACGTGGAGAAAGTTTTTTATATCAGTCTGTTAGAATGAATGGCAATCCATAGGAAAGAGATGACTAAATAACCTTAGTGTCCTATTTATCCATCAACAAGGATCCATCATTTGATCAACTTCTCCACTTCAGGAGTTACAAAGAGTAACTCTGATCTAGCTTGACATAGCCTTGAGAGAAGTGCTAAAGTAGAGACACATTCAGGTCAACTAGCTTAGGTGATGTCTTAACCTCTTGTGCCTCTTTGGCTAAAAAAAGTCTTCACCTTGACAACTTTTTGAAAACACTAGAATTCAGCCAATCAAGTGCAGCTTTCAATTCCCATGCTAGTGCTTCTTTGTATCAATCTCACTCTCCATGGTCCACGGCTGAGCCATATTTACTTAAAGGTGCCCGAGATCAGCCCTTCATCTTTGGAGACTCCAATTAACATTAAGAAAATTTTTACAAAAAACATATACTGTGTTAAGATATTGAGTCAACTTTCAAAGCTGTTAAAAGGTCCCGTTATTTGGCTGGCCCCATAGCCTAGTGGTTAATGGAGCTGGAACCCACATGGCAACTGTGATTTAAATCCCAGCTGGTGGCTGGAAAAACACAAGTGTATGTGCATGCAGTACCTCAAAATCCCTGCAAGATAGAGAAATGGAGAAGGGAGTGTGTGGCATGACTATTCCTTACGTGGGAGTACTTTCTTCTTTTCTGCCTATCTCCTTGTCTCTCTGAGGAGCATTCTCTGATGATTTTTTATAAAATGAGGTCCAATTATTACTCCACACCCAGCAGTGCCCAGTCTTCTTTTGTAGAATCTTGTTTCCCTATTAGATCCTTCAAATGGGTCAGAAAAGTGGACAGGTTTGACCTGCAAGTGTCCCACATAGAGTTAAGGCAAAATGACATGGGAACTCCTTTAGCAGGTCATGTAACTAGATTACCCAGATACAACTCATAATTTATAAAGACTTTTCAACAGGAGCAAAGCATTGTGGTTAAGGTATGGATTCTCTAGAGCCAGATGTCCTAGGTTTGAATTTCAACTCTACAGCTTACTAGCTATTTTACCTTGGTTAAATTATTTAAGATCTACGTGCCTCTTTTTTAATCTGTAATGTGGGGATAATAATGATCACCACAAGACTGATGATCAACACACATAAAATAACGCCTGGTGTAAAGTATGCACCAAGTGCTGCACAAATAAAATAATGAAGGAATTCATTCTTCTAATGAAAAAATAACCTAACCATGCAACAGATGCAAAGCAAAGTTCA